TCCCAGCATTTCAAAATAGAAGACAAGAAAACAAGCCCAGCAAACCTCATGAACGGTTGAGGGTCGTCAGAACAAAAGAAACTAAGGAAGATTGTGAAGGAAGTTATGAGCTGGAACAAACTGGTGATAAGTGTTTAATTTCCATACCCTAGAAAATGTGCTAAAATCAATCCTTATGTATAAAATGTGCTAAAGTCAATCCTTATATATAAAAATTTCAGAGGAAAACTAGAAAGAATCGACTTCTAATGGAAGTAACTATAATAGTTTCTTAAAGGAGAAATACAAAACCACCCATCAAGGCAGTTTCGGAGGCAGGGCGGGAGTACCAATACATAATCAATAAATATTGTAATTCCTCTGAAGAAAAAGTAAATTAACAGAAAAACAGCAGCCGGCTACCTGCTTTTTATCTATGGTGTTTACAAAAGGGGAGACAGAGAATTTAAAATGTCTTCTGCAGCATTGTTCAGGAGAGAAAGCCTTGATCATGTTGCACATATTTCATCCATTTGAGGTGAATACACTTTTAAACAAGAGATGCTATCCTAGTCTGATAATGCTTATCGTTGAAAGTATCCAGGTATTTTTCTTTGGACAAATTATCTGTTACAGAGAAAATATTATACTTTCAAGATTTATTTGGAGACAGTATAACAAAATGTGAATAAGACAAAGCAAGTTCAAACTGTTCCATCACTTGAGCAGGTTACTCAATCTAAACCTTTTTCCAACTTTTAAACCTTTTTCCTCATCATCATAGAGATATACTAACATAGGGTTGTGATTATGAATGTAACATGTTGAGCAGTTTCCGGCACAAACTAGGTACCCAACGAATAGCAGATATTGCTCGCCCCTCTTCCTCACCCCTAGGGAACCACTGATCTGCTTTCTGTAGCTATTCATTAGTTCGTATTTCCTGGAATTTTATATAAATGAAATCATACAGTGCTTTGTTTTATCTGACTTTTTCACTCAGTGTAATTATTTCAAGATTCATCAATGTTATTATTGCCTATATCAATATTTAATTCCTTTTTATTTCTGAGCAGTGCTCCATTTTATGAAGATACCACCATTTGTTTATTTCTCCACCTGCTGATAGATATTTGGATTGCTTCTTGTTTTGGGCTGTTAACACAAAAAACTGCTATGAATATTTGTGTTCAAGTCTTTGTATAAACGTATGCTTTCATTCCTAGGAGCAGAATGGCCGAATCATATGGTGGGTAGAATTTTAATATTTAACATACTACCAAATGGTTTTCTAAAGTGGTTTAACCATTTTTATTCCCACCAGCAGTGTATGAGATCCATTTCATTCACATCCTTGTTAATACTTTGTATGATCATTTTAAAAATAATTTTAGCCATTCCAATAGCTGTACAGCAGTATTTTGTGGTTTTATTTGCATTTCTCTAATCTTATTTAACAACTCAAAGCCATCTAAAATTAATCACACCTTAACTCTTCTTTCAAACAACATAAGTCTAAGGACACTTCCTGAATCAACCTTCATCCCACTCACCCAACTTAACTGAGTTGCCAAGTATGCATGATAAAATTTCCAAAGTAGAAATAATTTCCTTGTCTCTAGAGAATAAGATCCATTTTTTTATTTTATAAATTTCCAAATAATTTTATCTTAGTTGTGAGTTGAAGTTATTTATCAAATGATCAGTTGAACTTTTGTTTAAGGAGACCTAAGAACACATATTTTCTTCCTTAACCTTTCAAAATTCAATTAAATTAGAAGAAATACAAACAAAAAAGTTAATTCATAGCAGAACTAAAAATGAGTCGGGGCGCTACCAGAACACCAGAACAATGGAGAATTTCTGAATTATATAAAATAGATGTCACCCTAGAGTGTTAATTCCGAGGAGGGGAGAGGGATGGCACAAGGGGAATTAATGGAAACTACATTTTGTGTGTTTGTGTTGTCTGAATTTCTACAAAAAAATGTTTATGCATCATTTGTGCAGAAAAGGTTATACAGTCATTTATAAATAAACTGTACGGATAGAGATTTGATGATATAACCCAACAGAGCTAAGGATCTTTCAAACCCATACATTTGACAAATTTCGTAAGAACACTTCCAAAATGGAGCTAAAATCAGAGACAGTAGAGATATTTAATCCATGTGGAATTATTTTTATGAAATAAAGATCTATCCATATATATTTTTCAAGTGCATAGCCAACTGTCTCAATACCATTGTTTACCCTCTTCCAACAGAGGTGAAATGCCACCTTTATCATTCACTAGATTCCTTTAAATACATGATCTGTATTGTTTTTTCCACTCATATTTTTGTCCATCCCTAATACAGTTCTTTACTGTATTATTGCCTTTTAATGTTTTTATATCTGGCAGTTTAATATCTTTTTGCAAAATTGTCTGTTATGCTCTTGCCTTTTTTCAGATTTAAGTTAAAATCTGATTTGATTTCATTAAAAATTATCATGAGCTATCGATCAGAATATTAAATTTACAGGTATATTTAAGAATTGATTTTTTTATACCAATGATCCTTTCCATGCAGGCAGTTTTACACTTGCTTCTCTTTTCTCTCCATCTTCTGTTTCTCTCTCCATGTCAGCTGTTACCTCCTGGTATCATCCTGTTCCATGCAGAAGAGGATACACCAGCCTGTTGCTCTCAGTTTCACTACCAGAAAAGGAAACTTTTTTTCCCCAGGTGCACCTCACCCTGGGGTAGGACACTCTTTAATCTGACTAGTCATATACCCTCTTCACAACCAATCACAGAAGCCAGAAAAGTGGGTGTATGGGCTCTGATAGTGTATAAACATTCAATAAGTCTATGAAGAATGATGTTTGCAGCAAAACCAAATCCAATTCCAGAATGAGGAACTATTATAGTGAGACAAATTGTTGACTGATCTGTGACAAAAGGGAGTCCAAAGTAATTGCCACTCTTGAACCAGGTTTCTTGCTGGTCTCCTGGAAAGAATGCCTCATAAAGACCTTAGAATTGGTCGCCATTGTTGTAATGTTGACTTTATGGCAGTACCAGTAATCACTGGAATACAGCCTTTCTCCTTCCATTTCCTTGGTAAATCAGATCAGTAACTCTACAGGTTACAATCCTTCACTTGGAAGAAAAAAGTTGCTGGAAGAAATCCTGAAAATCTTCATTAACCCATTTTACTTTAGAAGATGTGATACTTCCTCTATCACTTGGAAGAAAATCCAAACACCCTTCTGCGGTCTCTAAGGCATTGAAGGTTCAAGGACTTAGCTTCTCTCCAGCCTCATCTCATGTGGCTCTTCTTGCTCTGATCACAATGCCCCATCTATGCTAGCCAATATGCCAGCACGGCTAAGTCTTAGCATATCCTGTTCCCTCTTCCTGGAACACCATGTACATCCCCCTTCCACTCCCATCCCTTTTAAGAGAGACCTAAAAGTCGTCTTCCAACTACTACAGACTTTACTTTCTAACCCAGCTTCTTGTTCATTCTCTTCATTATACCTAACACAAGCTGTAACTATTATTTGAAAAATAATTTAGCACAGAAATTGAAACAAAATGGAAATTCCATAATTCTACAGAACTTTTAAATGCTCATTCTTCTGAACGATGAGTGGGAAACAAAAGATCAAGAGGCATCCTTGGTGATCCCCTAAATAATGAAACGGTTACCCAAATTGTTTCCTACTCCCAAATCCCCCAGAAGTCAGCCCATGTCGTCTCTTTCAAAAGAAGAGTGGCATTACCATTTTTCATTCACGATTCACATCAATCACAGGTGGGTACCTATAAGCACGCCTCGTGGCCTTTCATTGTATCAGACGTGCCCACTGACCGACCTCATCCAGGGCGAGGTTTCTGACAAGCTGAGCACAGTAGCTGAGGCCATGCTGGCCCGGGAGTGGGATCCTTGGGGGCCGCGGGGTTCCTCACTGCCTGGCACTCCCGGGCGGTTACTTGAGTCTCGCTCCCGCCCTCATCACCCGCCCCCACCCCGCCAACCGGCCCCAAGGGGCCCCGAGGGCGCGCACGGACCACAGCGCGGCGGTTCAAACTGACGAAGTGTGCGCCCCTCGGGGTTCCCCGGGTCATTCCAGGGCTACTTGGGCGCAGAGCCGTTGAAGGGTCTCAGTCCCCAGGCACCCAGTTTCCATGTGAGCGCCCTTACACCAGCGAGGCCGAGCTGCCGCTTCTTCCGCCTAGCGCCCCAGTCCTACCCTGAAGCCGCCCTCTTCCACCGCCCATCCTCCCAGAATCTGACTACACGGCGTAGAAGCCACTGAAGTGCCTCCCGGTTCCCAAGGCAGAGTCCTGACTGCAAACCCAAGTTGAGTAAGGAATCTCAAAGCGACAGGCAACAGAAGTGTGACCTAAGCTCCCAGAGTTATCTACCTACCTAACCTACCTACCTACTTACTCTGTTCATTCGTCGTCTATCAATACCTATCGCTCTTTTTTAGGACTTGGATTATAATTCCTTAATTCGAGAGCTTTCTCGAGACGTTGTAAATTAACGCCTTTAACTGGAAAAGCGAAGGACTTTTTCAGATAAAAAATATGTCTTAGACTCAGAAAATAAATTTAGTTAAGGACTAGCTTTGCTAATTATGTTGAATGGTGGACCTCTTCTGTAAATTGAGCTAATGAGAAATTTCTAAGGTTTCGGAAAAAAAAAAAGTCCACTTATATTATACTTTACTCCAGAAATTACATATTCGTGTTTAGATAACCGCTAAAAATGCACAAGAAATGCATTTGTTTTCGAAACCTTTTTTAAGCGGCTCTCAAGCAAGAGTCTAGCCCAAGAGCTGAGCCTCCCTCCCTTACCCGACCTCGTCAAGCTCGTGTGCAGGAGGGGCCTGACTTCCGGACCAAGAAAGAGGAAGCGAAAGTGGGGGAAAGGGCGGGGAAAGTGACGGGAGCAGTGAGAGCCGGAAATGAGCGGCTAGCAAGGCATTCAAGAGCTCCTTGTCCGGCGACGCTCTAGCCCCCGCGCGTTATCTCTATCGTCCCCCGCGTCTTCTCTATTTATTGTCGCCGGGAAGCGGCGGCCGCCCCGTACCCGGAACAACAAAGCCCGAAAGACGGAGCCCGAGCCTCGGGGGCTCCTTAGCAACGGGCCGGGGCGGGAGTTCCATGGAGACTGGGGAGCGCGCCCGCCTCATCATCATCCTTGCCCTCCAGCTTATCCTTCGCGTCCGACGCAACCGGCAGCACTGCTGCCGCCGCGTCCTCTGCCACCGCCACCTTTTCCCACGGTAACCCCGTAGGCGACCCTGGGCGGGGGGAACGTGGGCAGCTGGGCGGCCTGAGTGCCGAGCGCTGGGCATCTGGGCGCAGGGCGGGCGTGTGCGGAGCGGGGGCCGTGCTGCGGGTGGGTTGTGCGGTGGCGGATGACTGGAAGAGAGGCGCTCGGGTAGGAGAAATTGGTCCGGGGGCCGAGGGAGGGTCCAGTTCTTAGGAGGACAGGGCGGTATGTGGGGATCTTATTAGGGATAACGGGGTGAGGGTGGGGCGTCACTGCCTGGGAGTGTTATCCAACGGGGTATAGGATAAGAAAGAGGTGTTTTCTTTTTCATGTTAGCTACCTCTGGGAAAGACCGGAGAAGGGAGATTCTCCATCTGTCTCTCTGGAGCCCTCACCCAGGAAAAGAGGGATCGTTCAAAGATGCTAGGGTTCCGTTGCTTCCCAGAAAACTTAAGTAGCCTCTGCTGCGGCGGGAAGGCTCCCAAATAGCACTTTCGTTGGTTCCTGCTTCTGGCAATGCCAAAAGCCCTGCTTTATTTTATTATTATTTGTATTAACCAAAAATGTGAAGAAGGATCTGGAAACTGAGGAAGATACAGTGAATCGTGCGTAGAGCTGAGCAGGAACAAGAGTCGGGATAAGCGCCAGTAAGAATCTTAAAAGTAAATTTAATTGAGAATTATGATTTTTAAAACTCTCTTTTGTCGAGATGTGCATCTGCGGGTTCTGTCAGTGTGTTCGTTGCAATAAGGCTTAGACTGCAGCCAGTCCACATCTGTGAGCTCTCTGACTGCATCTGTCACCTGCAGTTCCCAAGCGACACTGGCAGTTAATCAGCGTGGGCTTGTGTATTTAGGGTTAAGAACAGCGCCTTAAAATTGGCTCAAGAAAAGAAAAGGAAATAAGCTTGGTGTAATTTTTGTGTGAAGAAACAATGGCAGATTCCCTGGGGAAACTGAAAAAGAAATATAAGGAGAAGGTTCAGCTATAATCTGAATAATTTTCAGTCTCTTTGAAAGTTTGAGAAAATGGCAGTTCATTCAAATCGAGGAGCTTTTATCACTAATTTGTTTAAAGAATTACTTAGTTTGATCTGTCCAGTTAAATACTTATCGGTGTATGCTATCTCTTTAAGCCTTACGTCACTACTTAATGGTTTTATACATTTCAAAACTATTCTAGGTCAGTAAATGAGGTTTTCCTGTGGCATACTAAAAAGGCTACAGTAATACTATTTTTGTGTTCAATGGGAACAGAACTCTTTATATAAAATTGAAGATTAAAGATGAAAATAAAACTGATATATTACAGAAGCAATTATGTCAAGCACAGCTTCTGTTTGTCCCCCACCTTTTTTGCTAAGCCTGGCTTCTCTTAAACAAAAAGGTGTTATCTTTATCCTCAGCCTTCTCTTTTTATATTCTGTGTACTCTAAGTCAGTCTCAGAAACTGTAATCTACTGTATGCTCTTTATTTTGACTGATGCCAGAATATAGTTTTTAACTTAGGCTTTTTCATGGAATTGAGGTTCAGTGTGTCTTGTTAAAGGGATTTAGATGCAAAGAGGTGGGCAGTTTCCTTTAACAAAGATGGGAAGTATAAACACTGGGAAACTTAAAATTGCATTTTAAGACTCTAAGAAGAAAAACTCAATATCATCTTTAGGTTAATGACTCAAAAACTGTTAACATAATTTTTCATGTAACTGTTCTTCTGTGAAAGATATGCTGGGAGGTGACCCCACTGGAGGCTGTTGAATGTTGAGCCCCAAGATGTTCATAGTACATATGCGACATTGTGAATTCCCTTAGTCTCGGGGCTGCCATCACACTCACTTCACCTAGACCTAATTTGCTGTTGCATATATCCCTTCCATGTTTGACTGGGGGTCAAACTCTACCTTCCACCTTTATTAACAATCCAGTTTCTCCTTTCCTTGCTATCTGCTCCAACACTGACATTTGGTGTTGTCTTATTTCCTCTCCTTATTTAATCTTGTCCCAATCAAAAATGAGTTTTTATTCTCTTGTATTATTCCTGTTTCTCAGGGGGTTTTCAGCATACATCCTTGGCCTGAATATCCTTTTTATTAATATTACTTTGTTACATTTTCCTTCTGTATCCCTCCCTTTTATTTGAAGAATTGAAGTGGTCATGTTAGATCTTCTGTATTCATTCTGAATAAATGTTGGTTGTGCAATACAACAGGTAAGAGCCTTACGCTGAAAATCAAGACTTTTGAAATAAGGCATGTAAAAATATTTGAACTTTTAAAATAAAAGGTATTTTAGAAATCCAAGTGGTAATAATGTAATAGTAGATAGACATGGTCACTTTTTTTAAAGAGTAGAGTCTGCTATGTGTTTTTAATTGAGCCTTAAATTTTCATATTCTTATTTTAAAAAACTTCTAACATCATTCTTTTCTGATCATTTTTCATCTGAATATTTAACTGAAATTACATTTTGCCAAATTCAAGGGGACAAAGCGATTTCCACAGATTTTTCTTCATGTCATATCAAAATTTTTGTGGATGTATACACATAGTGCAGAATTTGTTATAAAGTAGGACAAACACATATGAAATACAGCTGAATTTTTTTGGAGTGTTATTTCTTATGTATTTGGCATGTTATTTTAAAAATCAGCCAAGAGTATATAATCTAGTTGAGTGGACATCAATGTTGTTTTTAGGTGCAGGAGGCTGGTAATAACCTGGAGATTGATTTCCTTCTGTTGCGTCATAGACCATGTGATGAAATTATTATTGCTATAACAATTGAAGTTTAAATTTATTTTAAAAGAATATAGTAGTTTTCCACAATGTCTCTGAGTCAAAACTTGTAGTGCTTTGAAAATTTAGCTGTATCGTGATGTTTGAATTAATAAAGATTTCCTGTAGTTTATACTCTCATTTATTGCACCTCTTATATGCCTGATGCCACATCATCTGTGCAAAGCTAAATGAAAGGTGTTTCTCTTCGGGTATTTTTTGTGCACTTGTAGATAGTAAAGAAATAACATACATGGATACCAAAATATGACAGATGCAAATTTGAATTTTAAATCCTTTATTGCATACTGCCTGGTGTGATAGTTACTGGTGTACAGATTTCATCATTCTTGCTAAATTGGAAGTTTCTTGATGTTCAGGACTGAGTTGCCATCATTCTGTATGTTCAGGTCATGGATGAATGTGTATTTTGAAGATTAACATGTTAATAGAAGGATACATAGATTTTTTTCTTTTACTTGAAGGAGTTAATCTAGTGGATGAAAGGAACCTCATCAGACAATAAAAATCATGGTAGATATAGTGTTTGCTCTTCTCATGTGACTCCCACTTTGGGAAAATTCAAAATGGTGATAGTATATACATATCTGAGGTCTTTCCAGGCCACACAGATACAATCAACCTCTTATTTAAAAGAGAGAGTGTGTGTGTATAATTGTGAAAAAGCAATATTCGAGAAGTTTTCATTAGTGGAAAGGAATCAGGGTGTATTAGAAATTGTACACCGGTCTTACTTACCTTGTAACTGAACGGGTGATAAAATTCAGAATTTGGTTTAAATGGCTTGTTTTATATTGGAAGCATGCTACTGGGGTCCCATTAAAATGTTTTCAAAAACACACTGAGGTGAATTCCAGGATGGTTCAAATTAGCCTTCATGTGGGAGTCAATAATAAAACTTTAAAATTTCACTGAAAAATACAGCACAAAAATTTGTGACTTTGACCATGCAATATTCATCCATTAAGAAAGAATACTGAAAATCACACTGTGCGTTAAGGACACAGTTTTCTCAGGACATATGTGGATGACTTTTGTGCTTTATATTTAGCACCACAGATGTCTGTCTATAGACATTGGTCCATGGTGTGTTTGGGGGGGTTTTTTTACTCATTTTGTTTTTTAACTCACACCATTTCAAAAGAAGTGAAAATTTGTTTTTATTAAATGGTTCCAAAGAATCAGATGTTAACCTTCCTCTTCCTGATAAATTACGAATATTTTTATTGTGAGGCAGAATGGTTTTGATAAAAATCAGTTAATGCTTTTTCGGGATTAGGGTTAGTATAGAGCTTAAGAGTATGGACTCTGGTTATAGGCTGCCCGTGTTCAGCATGGTGGCTATGCTGCTTATTATGGTCTTGGGCAAGTTATTAAACGTAAAGCACTTAAACAATGCTCAGCATATAGTTAGCTGAAAAAACATTAACTGGTGCTCGTAGCAGTGGTGCTTGGTAGTACATTAAAGGTGAATCATTAGACACTTGAATGCTTTCTTTCATTTGGATGCTTTCTATTAAAGCACTGAAATTCTTTGTGATCACTGACTATTGGACTTCTCTCTGCTGTTAGGTTTTGGGAGTGGGAAAGCACTTTTGTTTTAATTTTGAATTGTCACACAGACATCTGGTTATCACTTATGGCAGATGGAGTAAGTAAAAAGACATCTCTGTTTCTTGGAAAAGGAAGACCAACAAAGCCTGGTCTGGCACTGTGTTGCAGCTATTGAAATGCTATTTCCCTGTGGACTTGACTGCTTGTTTAGCTGTATGGTACTTCTGAATAAAAGCAATAGACCCCAATGGTTTCATTTAGCAGAATTAGTCTTCCTTTAGAAGACACTGTTTTTTACTTGTATAACCTTAAATGATGGTAAACTCGAAACTTCGTGTCATTGTCAAGCCATTTATCTTGAGTTTTCCGTGTCATTATGAATGTTCTGCGTACAAGCTATCTTGTAATTTTAGAGGTAGCTGAAACTGCTTCTCTACTCCAGTAGTTCAGCGGCTCAAGAATGCATAAAACTGGAAAATTATTTGTTTATGGTAAGGGTAACACTAAATACTGAGGCTACTTAATCAAGGGAATAACTTGATAAGTATAGCTTTGTTTATGCTGCTATTGAAATGGCTAAGTTTTTAAAGTTAAGTCCAAATGTTATATTTCCGTTTTATGGACATTTGAAACCGCTAAATAGAAAATAAATATTTATGTTT